CAAAAGTAATAATAATTTTAGTGCGTCCTGGTTTTATTAAAAAATTGTTCGATCAAAACTATATTCAAAAGATGTCCTGAACTTACACAATTACATGTGATAATTTGTATGTGAAATTTAGTTAAGCAGTAGATATGAACTGTGTATACTACCCCCATTTCATTCATTTATTTTTTTTTTTAAAAACGCAATCAAATTGAGGACGTATATATGACCTCTTTTTATCCTTCGTCCTCAATAAGTTCTCGGGAGGACGTTTCTAGGATGATCCAGCGACTGACGTTCTCAGGATGTCCTGAGGATGTCTTGAAAACCGTGAGGACGTTTGTACCTTTTGAGGACGTCCTGAGGATGTCGGGTGTTGTCTGGGAAGTTTAGCTCTGCAACATGATTAATTTAGATGAGCATTCGCGCAAGGTAGGCGGATTCCAAAATTACGCTCTCGGGCCCCTCTTACTTCAACGTGCGTCGGGTAAACGGCAGCAACAACTGGTACCGGCAAAGCCGTGACTCGTGGTTGATTCACGAAGATGCTACCTGCATTGCTTCCTAGATTCTGTATAGGACGAAAAGTCGTCCCGGTACAACTCCACTTAATTTGCATATTTTTGGGTGGATGGCGTTTCGAACCACAGGTTGCGTGGGAGCTCCGTAAAGTTGGCTTCACCTGCGAAAATTTTAGGAATGTTCGCAAGCGAAATGTTCAAAAGCGAACGTTCCGAGAACACTGCACACAAATGTTTGCCAATGAACGTTCTTAGAATGTTGAGCAGAGTGCCTTGTAGAGAATGTTCGCATACGAACGTTCAGAATGGTGTTTTAACGTTTTCCTTCAACATTCAGAACATTCAGGGAATGTTCGCACAACATTGGGTGCTACCTAAGAACTGTTGCTTCCTGTTTTACACGAAATAGACATGCACTCCGAGGGGTCGAAAGAATAGATCTTTATTAAAATAAAACGTTCAAAGTGGAGATTTTAGCAGCTGCAGGACCAGCGCCGGCTACTCCAGACCACTGATTGAAATTATAAGCAACATATAAACTTTACAAAAAAAAAAAAAAAAGAGAAGAAGAATATGTACATATATATATCGAGCATAGATCTAGATGAAACTCTTCTTTTTTATTTCTCTGACAAGAATGTGTCAAAACCAGGGCTGGGCAGGATACTCCAAAAAGTATTCGGGAATACAAATCTGAGATACATGTATTTTAAGGCCAAAATACAGATACTGAGATACATTTTTTTTTTTTTTTTTTTGCAGCGGAATATTTCTGAGATACATCTGCAAAAACAGCGGAAAAGTATTCCGGAGTACAGATACAGATACTTATAGAAATACATTTGTTCCCGAACTGTACTTCGTGGAGATGGAAGTGGCGAATGCAAATAATAATTTAGGCTTGCGCTCCTCTTTTGTTTTTCATTTTTTGCATATATTTTTATCTCGAACTTTTTATTTATCAAAAATGCCGCCAAGAAAACATGTCACCCCCGGTGAACCACATGGAACTGAACGATAAAGACTGTTAGACGCTTCTGAAGCACCTTGCAGCAAGCAGATGTTTTTATCCTTCAAATTCATCGTAAAAACGGCAATAAATATGTAACGAGATACCTAAGTCTGGCAAAGTATCGCGATACATGCGATACAACGTAAATATCTACTGAGAGTCTGAGATACAAATACATTTTTCAAATGCATCTCGACACAGAGATGCAGATATTCGAAAATATCGCTAAGATACTATCGCTATACATTTGTATTGCGATATACTGCCCAGCCCTGGCAAAAGAAAACGCGTATAAAGTATAGTAAGCTGTTTGAGATATCTGAAGTAAGTTTCCGACTTCGAGGAATTATTTTGATACTGAATTTAGTTTTTTGGTATTTTTAGCTCAGATTAATGAGTTAAAAATTATGTTTACATTAAACTGTTTATTCACGCCAGAGGGGGGATATTGGTTATTTTTATAGCATGGTATAAACTGTAACCAGGGATGGGCAGTATTCCAAATACAAGTATTTGAAATACGTATTTCAAATACTTTGTGTATTTTGCGTTTGTATTTAATTACAAATTGGGTATTGTGTTTGACGTGTGTATTTAAATACTAAAACGTGGGTACTTCAAATACAATTGTAATTAAATACAATTTTGTGGGCGAAAATACTTCCCTCAAATTTATGGTCACTGTCCAGAGCAGGAAGAAAACTACGTTCCGCACCGAATGCAGTGTTTCTCAATCAAGCACAAGCGTTTTGTGACTTTGTGATTACGGTGCTAGTCCAGAGCAAGAATAGTGAGGAAATCGACGTTCGCAGGCAGACTGGCTAAATAAGTGCCTGTGACAACTTGTGATGCTTTCCAGCCTGATTTCCATCCGTATCTTTGCCTGGAACATTGTAAATGCGCGGGTCGTCTAGATTTTCGTAACTAATGCGAGCTGCAACAAAAAAAAAAAAAAAAAAATTCTCTAGCTAGTGCTGCGCGTCTTGGTCGTATCGGTTCTTTGTTGGTCTATACCAAAATGTAATCGACAAAAAAAGCTGCTTGAAGCTCTGTACTTTTTTCACCTATTACGTCCAAGCTGATTACATTTTTTTTTAAATTATATTTCTATTACGTTACTAGAGCCTCGCACACTAACTCCCGAGTGTGCGATGCAAAATTAAAATGAGATACCCAGAAACCCGTTACAGGTGCCCTGAAGTCGCTGACGCAAATTTTGAGGAATGTATTTAGAAAAGTATTTGGAGGAGACCAAATACATTTGGTTGTATTTGCATCTTGTACTTAAATGCTTTCTTGGAAATGTAATTAAATTTGTGATTAAATTCATTTTTGACGAAGTATTTTGTGTTTGTATTTCGATACATATTTGCATGTATTTTGCCCATCCCTGACTGTAGCGATTAGGTTAGTTTCCACTTCGTTCTCCGACAGGGGCAGTGAGCTCTCTACGCCGCCGCCCCCCCCCCCCCCCCCCCCCCCCCCGCCTTGTTTTTTTAAAGGCACCCCCTTAATGGACTACTTCCAAAACCGACGCGCCCCATCGCGGCGAAATACCACGCAATGCACTCTGGGAACTAGTTGGCCACTCAGTTTCGGTTTCGACTGAGCAGCTTCATCTCATGCTATCACGCCGCGACCGAACGCGCTGCTTGCGTTTTCGGTTATCTGACTTTTCACGAACGTACAATACACTTATTCTCGAGCGATACGAAACGAAGACCGGGGCACTTTCCTTGGTTCCCGAAACACCGGATATTGTGCGTGCGTATGCGAACGTAGTAAGTCGTGGCTTAGTCACCTCACCCCTCGAGTGCATGTTTGAGCTCAATTTCAATAATCCCGTCTCGTACCAGTGAACTAGAACTGAAATTTGTTCATATGGAGCCTTACACGTATTTCATTTGCCAAACGTCCGCTTCTTGTTACTTCATTGGGCGAAAAGCAAGCCGCATCCTCACAGGGTATCAAAGTTAAGCCCAGCGTTTACGCATGAACTTTTAGGGAAATGCAATAAATTCGACCTCACTACTGCACAAAAGTTACTATGATGTCTTCCTCCTGTCATCATATATCTCCCACTCGAATTTTATGCTGATAGAAGATGAACTTTTTGCAAACGCTGAGATCGGCTAGCTACGACGGAGGCCCTAAAAGCGTCCCCTACTCTTCGCTAAGCCTTTTTGCACGAGCTTTTACTGACGCCCAAGATCTGTGCCTGAACGGTGTGTCTGAAATTATCTCGGCATATTCAGGCAGGAAGAAAACAAACACAGAACAAATATTATGGCCATTAGCAACCGTCAAACGCGCTTTGAATTCGTTCGAGCACTTGTGTGAAGAATGTCGCACCGTGCGCCGGACGGGCGTGAACCCCTATGCGGTGCGCATAGGGGTTCATGGCCGTCCGGCGCACTTCCGGCGAACGGTGCGACATTCTTCACACAAGTGCTCGACTTCAGCTTTCTTAAAACGGTCTGTATGTGCGAACGTGCCTATATGATTGCAGGATAACTCTGTGCGCATACGGGATGTTGAATATTAGTGGAAAGCAAGCGGGTGGGGAGTTCACTTCGTGCAGTGCTGCGGGTCAGTACAGATAAGAGATAAGAAGAGCTTTTCAATGGCGCCTCCGAGGTTTACCTCGCATACTCAGGCATATTAAGAAAAACAGTAATTGCAAAAGGTAATATTTCGTCTATGGACGCACAAAACAAACAAACTTCCTGATCAACAACACTAATGTAAAGGCGCGAGCTCGATGTATGCGTACTAATTGGTTGCTTCAGCTTTTTGATTCGTACGCAAGCAAGATCCCCGAGCTTCGCAGCGTCGAGATTCCCAGCCTTGGCTCGTCCACATACCTCGATGGAAACGCTAACAGGAAGGCTCAAGTACAAAAATACAACAAGCATATGTTAAGACGAGCTATACGTCTCAGGCTTGTACTAAAGCTTCGAGGTCTGGCAATTTAGGTTAGTTTAGAGACTTCAAATGACGCTCTCGGGACCAGAAAACGATCTTTTGTCGACGTGTCGATCGAAACCGAAACCATGCCACCCTCCTCCCTAGCCAACTAGTTCCCAGAGTGCAACACGCGCCGTGTTGCATGCAGGGCTTTATGGAAGTAGTCTATTCGCAACGACTCCTATATTCTCAATGCCCCTCCCCCCTAAAATTTAGACGCCTCCTAATCTCAATTCCTGGGGAAACCCCTGGACAGAAGTCCCATCCAAAAAATTCCAGCTGGCGAGCTTCATCCTAAACTTTCTCAAGACAGCAACATCTCGATCAAAAACTTAGAAATAAAAGAAGCATGGGCAGTCGTTCCTTTTTATAAGCTTACTTAGGAGAAACGCCAAACAAAACAAACGATAGGAGTTCTTTATTTTGCATGCGATGGATCCGCGCCGAAACCGAAAATGGTACAATGAGGGCGATGAGGGGCTCCTCGAGTGGGTTCGGTAAGCCCCATCGTGAGATCATCATCGAAAATTGCAAATGGCGACGTAAAGGTTCGGTTGAGTGTCTGTACCGGTGCTTTTCTAAATGTTATTTTGCTTTATTTTGGTACTACGTTCTCCAGAAAACGCCGCAAGATGGTAAGACGAACGGGAGGCTTTCCTACCGAGTCTATAGCCATGTACCGTTCTATGAACACCTTTTATCGGTGTGCGAGTTGAAGCGAACATTCGCACGGTTTGTTCCACGCTCACGTTTTCCGGTCCGCTATTGCACAAAAAGGAGGAGCACGATTTCGTGTAATTACGCTTGAAAGTAAATGAGTGACGTAATCGTTTCAAAGTGATTAAGATTTGAATAGCAATATGGCGAACATTATACTTATTATTAGTGGTTGCCCGTCAGGGGGAGGGGGTGGTTTGTGACACTAGACCGGCCCCTGGCGTGACATACTGCGACGAGCAAGTGCTGACGGGGCCCCTCCCCTCCTTTCTTTTTATTCCCCAGCTGGGAGATAGCTAGGGACACCTGCAGCTGTGTAACCTTTTCATAAAAACCAGTGTCATTTTCGATTAAATTCTTGCACTGGTTGCGTGTAATCTGTCGGGGACAGGTCGTGTTTGCTCTAAACCTTGTATCATCTTGGAATGCTCGTGCCATAACTTTACCTAAAAAAAAAAAAAGAAGAAAAAAATGGGAATTAGTTGTCAATAGGCGAAGATGGAAGTCTGGTTGTACTGCTTAGTCTCCTAAAAAAATATCAGAGCACCCGAAGTTTCGCCTAAGCTATCATTCACTCTTTCGCCATTTTAGTTGTACTCAGGGCCGGCCCTACGCCATCAAGCGCTCTGGGCAAACTCCACCGTGGCACCCCCCCCTCCCTCCCCTCCTTTTTTTATAAACCCCTATCTACTAGGTATCAGATCGTATTGTTAGTAATCATGTGAGTAGTGGCCCAACACAATCGTTTTTTCAGACGAAGAACCGCGTTCCAAAAATGAATGGGCGCATGTTCAAATAAATTAAAAAGAAAAAAAAAATTCAAAAGGGGGGCTTGTCAGCACCCTCGTTTTGATGGTGTTCTGGGCGACCATCCAGGTTGCCCTCCCATAGGGCCGGCCCTGGTTGTACTAATTACCGTTAAATAATTTGTGGCATTGTGTTCTACCTGTAATTATTCATGCAGTCACTCTCGTGTTCACCTCCTCGAATTACGATCTGACCCGACAGCATACTAACCAGGGGAACAATGAGCTAACCAGTCTATGTTTTAGAGGCTATACTTTGTTCATCTCTTGCCGAACCAATCAACCGCCTTTCCTTCATCCCCTGACCCCGCTTTCTGCACGTGGGTATAAGTAGGACTGCGACCACTTAGCAAAAGACAGACGTATGACTGGTCGATCGAGTGTATAGCTCCCACCACCCTGTCATCTTGGGGTGAAAGGAATGTATCTGGCGCAGCAAGCATAGTCGAAATAAACCACATAACAGGAAAAAATTCATGACCCTTCTACATATCCTTCCCTGCTTTGTTTTTTCATCTCCTTTCTACACCATCTTCCTTGCAACCATCCCCGTTATCGCTCCCAGATCTTGAAGCATAAGACTAAAGATTGCCTAGTCAATGTGTGCTGGTGGTCGTACGACTTTAAGGTTTTACGCAGGGTGTCGAACCGGAACCGAACCGAAAACCGGAACCGAACCGGTATTTTTCCGGAACTGAACCCGAACCCGAACCGTTATAATGTTATCGCGATGAACCCGAACCGGAACTGAACCGGAAAAAAAAAAAACGGTTACCGGCTCATGTCAAAACGGTTCGGCCACGCACTGTTGACAATGAATGTGCTAGCAATGCCATTTGTTTTTTAAGTGCCGTCAACTGACACACGCCTCGCTTACATATTTTTCTTCTCCACTCAGTCTTAGGAATATAAACGCTGCATCCATGAATCTTGACAAACGCTGCATCCATGAATCTTGACATAGGAACCAGTATTGCGCTGGACGCGGCTTGCACGAAAAAAAAAATTGGAAGGCTGTGCAAAAAAAAAAAAAAAAAATCTCGTCACGGGATTTTATTTTCCTACAGTCACGTAAATCCTAAATGCTGCTGTGTGCTCATTTCATAACACGTTTCTAGAATGCGTGAGTTCTTGAAGCTTGCTTCCATCGGAATGGGAAAAGAAAAGGCTGTGGAGTTTGATAATAATGCATCCGGTTTCGTATAGGCACTTAGAAGCTAACATATTTGTGAGACAGCGAACTCTTCTATTTTAATATGTATCCTATTACGTCCTTCTGGTGTTGCGTCCGGTGAAGTGTTTTTCATATTCCGTATCTTGTATAATGAAAACTTCTTTAAGGGTCTAATTTGAGTTACCGAAGGCTAGTTCAAATAAAAAAAGCAGTATTTTCTCCCCACTGTTTCTTCAATTGTTTACACGCCGAGGTGGCGGGATAGTTAGCGAGTTCTACTTATAAGTGGGTCTGTAAGGAGGTCGCGGATTTTACAGCTACTGCGTCGGACCCAATTAGATGAAGTCCGAATGCGTAAACGTCGGTGAGGTAACCTTTGAGTGCACATAAAGAAACCATTCCTGGTAGAAATCCCTGAGCCTTATACTACGATGTACCCCGTTTCGTATGTGCTGATTTCAGATGTTTTATTTGTAATTTATTTTGATGTTGCAATTTGTCATTTATAATTTCCGAACCGGTTCGCAAACCGGTTCAGCGCCCCGAACCGGTTCGCAGATCGAATTAATCGAACCGGTACTGAACCGGAACAAAATACATTTACCTGAACCGTAACCGAACCTGTATTTTTTTCGGTTCGACACTCTGGTTTTACGGCACCCGGATTAGCATGGACGCTTTGCAGCAGCTGTGCATGGGCTTTGTTTCCTCTTATTCCAATCACTTCATCATTACCAAAGCATTACAAGTTATTGCCACTTTAGATTCTAGTGTGTGCCTCTCCCCAGCCTAGGCCTTTGTGGAGGCTTGTCAACACCTGCTTTAGTGCATCGGCACCTCAGTAAGACAAGAGGTCAGCAATGGCGGCTCTAACCTGGCGCATGTGTAAAGCGTCATCACTGACAGCTTAAGAAATGCGGGGCTTATTATGTTAATTCTCCTTGCTTCGTGATTCATTCTTCGGCATTCTTATCGGCAAATGCTGCAATCTCATTTGCTGGGAAAAAAACGAGGCGCTCAGTACTAGCGACTCCCCTGCGTTTTTTGCGTTGTCAGTGATTATAGTAGCATAGTCAGGCTGCCATTGCAGGTTTTCTACCAGCCCTCGTGTTGCTCTACTATGGTGCCAGGAGAGATGTCATTATTAGGCTGCTCTTGATTCTTGTCTCTTTCCGTTGCCCCAGATGCAGTTTATGCTCCTGTTCAGCCGCCAAGGCAAACTGCGGCTGCAGAAGTGGTACATGGCACACCCGGACAAGCTGAAGAAGAAGATCACCCGAGAGCTGGTCACGACCATCCTTGCCAGGAAGCCAAAGATGTGCTCTTTTCTCGAGTGGAAAGACCTGAAGGTCGTTTACAAGCGGTATGACTCGACCCACTCGTTTGGATTGCTACTGCACGGGTTGGCTTCTGTTCCGCAAACTCTGTGCAGCTTGCTTTGTTGCACTGGTGGATATTTTCTGGTCGCTTTCATCCCTCGTTAAAAAATAAGCCCTTTTCACTACTCAGTCTGGTAACTTCGATCACTATCATTATCCCAGTGTATGGCATCTGTGCCAAACTAATGGTGGCCATCTTGAGGCTGATGAAGGTAGTAGTTGAGGATACTACCATGTGCGAGATATATAAGGTCTGTACGTTTGAGGCATGTGTAGGGAACTAATTAGGTACAATGGTTGTGTAAGCAATTATTTGGGTCTGTGCTCAAATGAATCCCTTGGCTCAAGTTTGGCTCTGAAGACTTTTGATGGTGTAAATTTAATTAAGGGTCTTATCGGTCGCCGCTTTGTTCTGGCCACTTATTACGTTCACAGTACCGAAACTGAATTAAATGAAGAAAGAATGCCGAGGGGGTCAAAGATCCAGTTATCATCTGCCATTGATGCGCGAAAGGGGTGGTGTCAGATGAAATAAACTTTCATGACCGCCATCAGTTTTTCAAAAGTGAAACTGCTTTTTGAGCCACCTGATGGCACTAAATTTTGAAAAGGGTTTATTGAGGCAGGCTAAAACTGTTTACCGTAATAGCCCGATAGGTAACCCACCTAAGATTGGAAGCAAATCGGGTGGAAGTAAGGAGTAAACTAACTTTTGGTGTGCGATCAAAAAAAGTTGGAAAAATTTTAGTTTTAGATTTTGTGATTTGCGAAGCTTGTAATCGCAGGGTGGGGTGATGAATTAAATACGACTGTCCTTCCCAGTCAGCAATGTTTGCTCATCTCTTGCCGTGGTCAAGAAACATTACTTCTGCCGAGCTCACTATTGGCTAGGGCCTTACTAGAAATGGAATTACTAGATGTGGGGTACCTTTCGGTGTTTGAAAGAGGAGCACATCTTGCCAAAAATAGGGGTAGGTCACCTCTCGGGGGTGAGGCATCTCTCGGAATATAAGGGTTGAAGTATTTTTGCCAGAAGCTCTCCAGTTAAGGGCTGATGTGCACTTCAGGATTTTGTTTTGCTCTTGTTATCCTCACTTCAGCCTTCATCTCCTTCCTCTCGAGAGTTAACCCCCGAGCTTTTCTCTCTTTATTGTCGGCTTCCTCGGTGCCTTCTGGCCAAAGCAGCCGGCTTACGGATTCCCAATTAAAAGGAGCTGTGAAATGATGGTCAAGGTGCCCGCATTTTGACGGAGGCCTACTGGGTCAGAGACTGAACAGTCACGGCCCTAGTGATTCACTCCACCCTTGAAGACAACAAAAACATAAATAACTTGCATGTTTTTGCTGCGGCGTACGGCTGCAGCGCTGACTGAATGGAAGTCTCGTCCAAATTCTGGGGCAACATTTTACTTCCCTAGAAGTATGAGCGAAGGCAATGCTAGAAGCATGAGCGCATTGCCTTAGATGATGCTTTCACTTCACGAGGAAGTGCACATAGCAGGCCCACTCAATGTGTAGCACTTGCTCTTGTGGCATTTCCTTTGCTCACATTTATGGTGAGCTCCAATGTCCAGTCTGTTTGCCAGGTGCCACCAAGGTAGATGTTATTTTATTTATTTAGGGCTATTCCCCGAGCCTTGTGTTGGGTGTGCAGCAACATGTATGTAAAGCTTGCAAGACAAACCGTCCTTTATAGTTCGATCTCCTCGCCCATTGCACCAACCTGTAATTGATGTTTTGGTTTTGGTTGTATGTTAAAATATCCCCTGGTGGTGTAAATATTTCTAATTCTTCACTGGGTCATGCCTAGGACTCCGTGTTTTCAGAGTTTATTTTTCATGAAATTCGGAGGGTGTTTTTTGGAGTTTATCTTTTAGCGAAAATTCGGTGTTTATCGGAGTATATTTTTTGTAAATCCCCAATTCTCTAAAATTCGGAGATTAATTTTGCAGTGTTTCCATTAAAATAAGTAATAACAGGATGCAAATGTATACTGTACCAGATAAAAAATAAGACGCACTTGTATCAATTAAGATTTCTTCAGTTGAGTTTGGCGTTGGTGTCATTGGCAATACTAATTTGTCCCACGACAAAAGTCGCACAAAAGTGTAGCTTCGGTAAACGTCGATACCTTAAAATCAATAAACTGCCGGAGGTAGCCGCAAGGAACCTCGTAGTCGTCCCATCAATCTATCCCGCAACGGCGCGAGGTGGAGTGGTTAAGGATGTAATAGAGAAGTTTCAACTGCCCCTCTTCCCTATTTTATACAATCTCTATGGTCCATAACTTTCACTGTTACAGTAACATACCATCTCCTTTCTCTAAATCCCAAATTGCATGGCCCAAACTGGAAACCAAAAGAGTGGCTTTTGTCATGACACGAATGGTACAATGACCTGTTTTCCTACACCAACCTTGATGAGACAAGGACTAAGACCCCCTTTTGACAACAGTCCGAGGCTTGAAAGATAATTATGGTGTCATTTTCCCAGAACCATTAATCCTGCGCTGCTCAAATTGTTAAAAAAAAAAAAATTACTTTTTTTTGTTTTTGCTGTTTGGGGGGGGGGGGGGGGGGGGGGGGGGGGGAGGCAGCAGCAGGTATGGGCACATGACAATTCGGAGTTTATCGGATAAATTTCATTTCACAAAAATTTTACCGGCGGGTGTTTTTCGGAGTTGTTTGGATTTATGCGAAAACACGGAGCCCTAGTCATGCCAGATGCTCCTAGTTGGTTTAGCGCATAAACTTCAGTAACTCGAGTTTGTGTGTCGGCCTTTTAAGTTGAAGTATGCTTTGCCAAATGCACGGTATGTGGTACATGACTGTTGCAGCTCCACTCTTATATTACATGTTTCCTTTGCTAATGCTCATAGCATTGAGCCTTCAGAATCATTTCCAGCAGCATTGAAAACTTTCTAATTTCATGTTCATCATTGGGAGAGGGCCAGAGCTTTTTTGCTCGAACTTTTGCTAACCTGTAATCAAGACAGAAATTAACCTTGTCGTCTTAAACTTGCCAGTTATATGTGCAACATCTTTTATGTTTATTTCTTTCAGTGAATGCAAAGACTGGGTTTTGCTTTGTCTCTTTTTTCAGGTATGCCAGTTTGTATTTCTGTTGTGCTGTGGAGCAGGTGGACAATGAGCTTCTGACTCTTGAAGTAATTCATCGATACGTGGAGCTGCTTGACAAGTATTTTGGGAGCGTATGTGCCATTGCCTTTTTTTTCTTCATTGCATGACTAAGTTGGGGACACTGGTTCGGGCAGATTGACCCGATTGGAACCTTGCTGACTTACATTTTCAAGCACATTAATCCTTCATTGCAAGACCCCAAAAGAGGTTTAGTAGATAACTCCGATCACGATGTCGAATACTCCGGCGGCGCTTTTGTGCTTGCATCATATTATCAGCAGTGTTGGAAAGTAACTTTCAGTAAGTTGTACTTAAAGGATTACTTGATGTAGGCTTGGAAAACTTGTACTTTACTTGAAGTACATTCTCTGAATATGTACTTGTACTTTACTTAAAGCATCTTTTCTGGTACTTTACGAGGAAAGTGCGACTCCTGACTTCAAAGTACATCCCCCAAATCGGGTCTTGCTAAATTTGTGTCACAAAATTATGTTTTGTCAACTCTGAAGAAGTACTGGGAGGGATATTCTACTCCCACTGGGAGCATGAGCAAACTACTCATCGCTCCGTTTGTACTGCCGTACCGTGGGCGGCTTTCCCGCTGCTTTTCAAACTCTTACTACTTCTCTCTCGGTCAGTGCAAGCGAGGAGGTCAAAACCTTTTGGGAGATGACACTCCTCCATGAGAGGATTGCTTGCAGAAGCTACGGAGCTGATGTCATGCTCTCTCCTCCCGGCCAGTGCAAGCGTCGACAAATTCAGAAGTCAGAGGGACTTTTGAATTTGGCCGCCATATTCCGAAAATAACTACTCTGGCCAGTTCACTTTATCGAATATATACTGCCATTTCAGAAAAGAACTGATGCCCTGGACAGTGCATAAAGGTAACTGCAAAGAAAAAAAAGTGTATTTTTAAACAGCCTAATTGGGACAAGCATGTCGCAAAACAATTTTTCCGCCAAAAACAAAATTTTTTACAGCAATATTTATTGCACAAGACTGATTTTAGTTTGCTGCTATTTTTTCCGTTTTAAATCGCGCGCCACAAAGTTAATAGTATACATAACATAGTGGCTGCTATACGTCACGGAGTGACGTATAACAGCCACTCTGCGCGCGTCGAAAGAGCGGGAGTTTCGAATGTGACTCCGACTAAGTTACGTCCTCTGGCGTAAATATTGCTAGAAAAAATTTGTTTTTTCGCGGGAGATTTGTTTTGCGACATGCTTGTCCAATATAGGCTAAAAAAAAACTTTTTTTTCTTTGCAGTTACCCTTCAAAGAAAACACTGTATAGGGCAGGGGTCTCAAACTTATTTCAGTGTAAGGACCAGATAGCCCGCCTCCAAAATGTCGATAGCCAATATAGGGCGGGGAGAGGGGGGGGGGGAGGGTTAATATAAGGACAAAAACTACAAAACAGCAATGGTGTTTTACGTTGTAGAGCCGCCGAGTCTTGTAGCAACACCCAGAGATATTTGAAAGAAGGGATATTGTGCTATTTGCTTCTTGTAAAAAGCCGTTTTGCCAGTGCCGTCTTTAGCTTTGATTTATTCATACAACCGCTTTAGGTTTATACCTAGTGTGATTACAAGATTTAAAATATCGCCATCCAGCCAATGCGCTGGAATTTCTCAATAGAGTTAAGAAGCAAGCACACAATTGTTGCTATGTCGCTCAATTCAGGAAATGTCAGAGTTCAATATGTCTGAAAAGAAAATCTTTTTGTACGGCAGTTTTTGCTTTCCTTCTGATTTTTATAGCAGAATTACAAGAAAATGCTTGTCTTAACGGTATGTAAGTTACTCCTGTGCATAAAACTGGCAGCAAACTTAGCATTGAAAACTACTATCCAATTTCCCTCACTCGTGTCAGTTGCAAAACACTGGAGGATGCATTATTGGGTTACCTCTTTGATTACCTTGATAGTTCAAACGCTTTTAACCCAAACCAGCACGGATTCCAGTGGAGGCTATGGACAATCACACAACTGCCAGAAACTAATCACGATATTGCCACTTTGCTGAATAGGAGGGGACAGACGGATGTAATCTGCCTGAACCTTTCAAAGATTTTAGTTGGGTTCCACGTGCACAACTCATTAAAAGGCTAGTAGACGCCAGTATAAATTTACAAGTATTGAGATGGATCAGAACCTACCTCATTAAACATACCCAATTTGTAGAAGTTAACGGTGCTATATCTAATACATTAAGAGTCATGGGGGCGTTCACTAGGCGTCCGTGCAGGAACTGGTATTATTTCTAAGTTATATTAATGATATTGTGGATAACGTTAGCTCTAAAGTTACCACTCGCTTATTCGCAGACGACTGCTTAATTTATTTGAGAATTGTGTGTCCTGAAGGTCAGATCACTTTAAACATGGCGTTAGAAACTTTAAATGAGTGGTGTAAGTGGTCAAAAATGCAAATTAACCCCCCAAAAAACTATTCTTAGGAATCACAAATAAGATTAAGAACACCTTTGTTTTTGATTATGAACTTGACAGTAGTCCACTAGCATTCACCAGTAATTTTAAATACTTACCGTAAAATACCGGGCAGATTTTGAGATAATCATGAAAAAATGGGGGATGGGCGCTTGTCCGGTCATCAATTCTACATATCAATGTACTGTGCATATTTTCTCAGATTTTACAAATTTGGGAATGGGCGCGTAATGTGGTATGGGCGGATGCACGGTATTCTACGGTAGGTGTAACTGTGTTTGGAGATATGAGTTGGAAATTCCATATCGACAATTTGACGAGCACAGCAAAAAGAAAATTATGGTTCTTGAACGTAACCTCAAATTAGCAACAGAGGAAGCAAATTTAACAGCCTACTTAACATTTGTATGCCCTGTCTTGGGATATGCGAGCACCGTGTGGGACCCATACAGATAAAAACAGACTGAAACATTAGAAAAGGTACAAACGATAGCTGCTAGATTTATCACATCCAGATACCGAAGGACTGAGTCTGCACTATATGCAATCTATTTTTCTTTCGTTTCCTTTTTGTGTTCCTTCACTGATATTTATATTCATTTAAGTGCATCTGTGTCTGAATCATTCATGTCATATCATTCGTCGAAGTGTGCTTTAAAAATTTGGTTATTTTTCTAATGAACACTCCTGCAACAGCCAATAGGCCAACAGTACGAATAAATAAATAAATACACGTATGAAACATTTTGTTCTGTCAGACATGCAGTGCAGCCTCTTACAGGGTTGAAGACCTGACACCTTCTCTGCTTGTGATTCAGGAGGGGGCAAGACATCCACTGCAACAAGATAATTATGTAAAAAAAAAAGATAGTTTAGCACACCCTTTAATGAAGTTCTGATTTATCTATTGTGTGTTATTCACGGGAAACCCTGCTCATATCTGGCCTGCTTCACGGGGCGACGGCCTGCCAGTTTAAGAATATCTAGACTCTGCATCACCTGGCTTTAAGTGGCACGGCGTCCTGACTTCCAGTCTACCCCACCAATGAGCGCCGGGACACGAAGACCTTGAAGAGCCGGTTGAGATCTTCTTGCAAACTGCAGATTGCCAACTGCTGCTCTAGAAAAACTGAATATACTTTTTTTGAACATCCATGACCGAAACCCCTAGACGGGGTTTTAATCCACAATGTTCAACCATCACCAGCTCGTTTCTGCCCTAACTTTTTTTTTTATACTTCTTGACCTTGTTTCCAGGTATGTGAGCTGGACATCATCTTTAACTTTGAGAAGGCTTACTTCATCTTGGACGAGCTGCTTATTGGCGGGGAGATGCAGGAGACGAGCAAGAAGAACGTTCTCAAAGCAATAGCGGCGCAAGATTTACTTCAGGAGGTAAAGTGACCCACCTTCCCTCCCTTGTCCTCGTCCCCTCAATATCTGGCCATGCATCAATAAGGTGCTATTGGAAGGAAATGACCCAACAGATGAACCTGGTTGCAACGTAAATGTTTTTTTTTAGATAAGTGCCTCTGTCTAAAGTTGGCTTGCTCAGGTGCTTGCGCAGCTGGAAAGTGCTTTTCAGTTCGGATCGCTTTGCAAAGAACTGCTTTGACTAAGCAGCACTTACGTGGCAGTGCACGACATGTTAGAAGCCATACCAAAAACAGCTAGAAACGCTCCTTAGATTTCCCCGAATGTTCGGGCCCTTTCTAGTATAACATTATGACCTTGTAGCTTTCACACGTGCATACCTTCCAGACCTGGGAGGCGTGTCACGTGACGTCAACAGCAGAAGCAGTGTGCAGTTGCTCGCATGATCCTGTTAGTATAATTCATACAAGTTGCAATGTACGCTTGTACAATCTCTCTGTGACACCATTGTAGCTTTTTGTTTGCTCACTGATATAAGTTTCACCACTGCTAACAAGCATCCCGTTAACAAGGTTTGAGCGACTTGTGTAATGTGGGTTACTTGCGGTAAAGCGATGGTTGAACATTTGCAATCTGATACGAGTATGGATGGACTGTCGTTACTTTTAAGCATGATCACTTGTGGCTCAACAATTAAACTGGACTCTTTAAAAAGGGGGGCAAGTGCTTTTTAGCTGTGCTTGTGCCTGTCGGGCAAATTTTAGACTGGCACTTTATCGGAAGGGGTGGCCGGCACATGTGTCCATCTGCCGACCGCATAGCAGAAGCAAGGTAGCCCAACTGAGAGTGTCCCGCATACGCACCTCATAAAGGTTCTTGTAGTCGTCATCTGACTGAAACATAGAGCAGCAGGTAAGTATACTTCTTTTTGGTTTTTGATGCTGTTGCCGTTGCTGTGAGCAATAGGGAAAATATCTTGCATCAGCTTTTATGTTCTGTCACCTTGGGCTTTGTTTTGTCCAAGTTCAGCGCCTAAAAGTATTAGAATTAACTCTGTGTTATGGTAATCTGTTGCGGTGTAAAGCATACAAATGCTTCACCGACTTTCATGCCACCGCGCAGCGTATGCGACAAGCATACTCTGTGCTGTGCGAAACATGAGTATGATTCAGTTGCCGTTACGTGAAAATAGGCTGGAGAAAGTTGGATGGTTTGAGTGTGTAGAAAATGGTCCTGCTTTAATTTGTGACTTGAAACCTTTGGTCTTCTAAGTGACCATGATTTTAACATTACCTATGATATACTAGGGCTTTATCATTCAGTATCTTTGCAATCTTGCTCTGAAAGGCTATATTTTGCCATATTTTGAGCTTATGCCATCAGAGTTCTCTTGGTGTGAACATTGCTGTTGTTGGGATTTAGATTCTTTGGCTTTGCAGCAGAACAGTGCTACGCCAAACAACCTCATGCAATAACTGCTTCTTGCTGCCTTTTTGTAACTTGCAACGAGTGTAGCGATTTTATGTGGAGGCACTGTTAGATCATACTACATACTTGACTTGAATGTGCTTTGGACTATGAGGACTACAGCGTGCAACGAGCACAGTTCCGTGCAGTGGCAGCAAGAAGGGCGCAGCAACCACTAACGCCCCTTTTCCTTCTGCTCCCTTTCCAAAGGATGAAGCAGTTGAGAACGCCCTCAAAGAGTTTGGACTGATCTGATTGCGTAGGGGCGCAGCGTCTGTGGCGTTCACTTAACTGACATTCTGTGGGCCCATTTCTGTGCACCTGTTCCTGCGTCATCCAACTCGCGCATTTGCTCCGAAGCTCCTTCAACGGAACAAAGTTGTGCTTGCATGCTCTTCTGTAGTAAAGCTGTTCCCTGATTATGGTGGCTCCCTGCATTTCCTGGTCACATTCTTTTGTTCCTCCTGCCTGGCTTCTGATAGTCTTGGATGATTTTTCTTTTTTTTGCCACTTTTGCTTTTGGTGTCGCAATGCATGTTGTGAGCTGTTGGCATGCCTTTTATTGATTCTTGTTGCTGTGCTACCTGGCTCTAGTTTTTCTTTTTGAATGCCTGCTCTGTGTTGCTCTTTGGAGTCTTTTCAAGGTGCTACTGTGCTCTCTGTGTGGTGACTGCCTTGTTAGGTTTTGAAGCATTAAAGAGTAGTAGACATGGTTGAAGCTGTTCAAGTCTGGCTAAGACGTTTACTAATTCATACCACAAATGATTATCACTGTGCGCCCTTCCTCCCGTTTTTATTCATTTATAAAAATTATTGCGGCTGGTGCAGGCCGACTGATGTTTGGCAGTTTTCAGGTATTTAAGGACCTTCACTGGAGGGTCATTTTGCAAAAAAGAAATAGTGCAACCAACATTAGTGAATCTCGCTTGTAAACACAACTTAGCGACATTGCATCGTGAATCGTAGCTACACTGCATATTTATTAATCAAATTAATGCAGTGATCATAAAATTTATCTTTGAATTAAGTTTTTACATAGGTTGAACTATAGTGCTGAGAGAGCATTTAGAAGGCTGTAGGCAATTGTCATTTTTATAAAAATATATATATTTATATCTTATGCCTCATTGAACACACATCTCTCATGAAGGGCCTTAATAGCTTATGCTGTAAGGCACTGCCATTTTTGAAGTTTTGACCTTCTTGGAAGTAAAGCTAATTACATTAACAGCTGTGAAGCAATACGTGTGTGCAGCAATACTCTGACATTTCATAGTGAGCGTGCCATTGTCTTTCTGGTTGATATGAGAGTAAATTGTAGAGTGACCTGACAAAGTACGTCCAGATTACTGAAACAAAGGATTGCATGTCATTCAGCCAATGTAATCAAGATCAACAATCACTCGGTTTTTGAGATATCACACTGCACCTGTTCATGAACCCAATGAGTGGCTTGTTATTTGTACAGTACATCATAGTTTTTTTCCTACCAATTTGAGTATGGGTTATTAGACACCATTTTTTAAATACTGTCAGCTTTTTGCTGTCCTATAATTTTTATGCTTTCTATTACATACTTTATTCATGACAATACTGCTACCAACTTCTTATGATATTTGCATGGAAGCTGTGATTACTATGATTTTAGCAATGAAAATTAAGTATGGTTATTAAACTCGCTTGACATTAGGTGGCTTCTCATCTGATACGTATCATAGCAACATTTCAGTATATTTGATATTACTTAGTGGAAAATGATTCTGTAGGCTCTAACTGCTTTTTATCTTTACATTTTTTTTTTAAACCTGTTTTTAGAACACACTGAGGATGGCCCAAACCATCCAAAGTTGTGGGACGTGATCTGGGGATAATTCAAATGTGCATTTGTGTGCTATGACGTGGCAGATCTATCATCCGTGCTTTTTGATCCTTTGCAGGAATACAGTCACAATTTTACATTCTAGTAAAATGTGCAATTCTTTTTTTTGATACCATATTTGGAAGACTTACACTATAAAAGGTTCACCCTAACACAAGGCTGATTCTTTTTAAACAAATGCACATAAGTTTGCTCCACATAGCATTATGAACAGAAGCTACCAGCGGAAAAACTCAGTGATTTAACAGAAGCTACCAGCGGAAAACCTCAGTGATTTGTTCATTTTTCCTTTGGTTTCAAAAGCAATTCGTCGTATTGAGAAGATCATTATTAATTTTACGTTTCTGCGCTAACTGCAAGAGCTTAAGGCTTTGATTCGCCTGAGCTGTAGGTTAGCCTAGCAATAGTAAATTAGTTATCAATGTCTTTTTGTCAGATTTGTAGTGTAGACCCTAAACAAAGCAATATTAATCCCAGCAACTAAAAGTGCTAAAAACCACCATTTCATTTTTGTCTTCATTAAGTGTAATGCAAACCATAAGGCTTATGTACTGCAGTAAGGGAGATTGCTACACAATGTTATATGGCATAATTGCCGAATTAACATTGGAAATATTTCATGGCATCTAAGCCTAATCGTAACAAGTCACCCTTGTATGTAGGACTCCAGAGGTTTCTGGAAACATTGGGCTTGTTCATAACGTCTCAACATATATAGCTACTTCAATTTGAAGTGACTTAATCAAGGTTTGAAGGGATGATTAAATGTTGATTTTTTACATAAGAGAAGACTGCTTTGGCTGTGCATGCTACATTAAGTATCTGTCTCCCCATGTTAACACTTTGTTTGCTTGTATTTTTCCTTCCACCTAAAGGATGAAATGCTTGAAGCTGGTGTGCAAGACTAACATCGTGTGCCTGCATCTCACTGCATTTTCAAGCTTGCTCATAACACATAGGCTTTGTGGTTTACAATTTCCTCTTGGTTTTGCATCTCTACCTCGTTTCTCTTTTACTTGAATAGGCAGTGTGTTTTGTTTAGCTGGGGAAAGCTGCAAGTCTTTCGCAGCCCCTTCATTCTTGCATAGGGCATAAGAAAACTTTTTGTGTTGCCTGAAATCGGTTTGTTTCAGAAATGATGTTTTGGAATCTGTCTTCTGTGTACACAGAGCATTTTTTCTTGGGGATCATTCACTTTCGAGTTAAGTTACTCCAGATTTCTAGTGACTCAACTATGTTTCTGGTGTCCTGTGTGACAGCTTTTTCAATGGAAGCTGACTTTTGTTAGTGTTGGGCATTACACTATCCACTAGCTGCATTGAGTGTACTTCAGGTATGGCACCAAGTGGACAGGCATACTCCAGGCAGAAAATCATGTCTCCGCTGCCAGAATTTGTTCAGCAATGCTGTAAACTCTTCCACTGCTGCATGTGCATGGTGCAACACAGTTGGTGCAAACATGAGATTGGCATTTGGACAATCACAAGTTTACCTTTGGAAAGGGCAATGAAAACATACAATTGGAGAAAAATGTGTTTTTCGATGCCTTGAGGACGGAATCACAACGCTTAATTTATTTTAGAATTCTGCATTGGGTGCGGGGATCAGTTTTGATTACGCTCATTTATTTCCATTTCAGAAAATATTTCGGGCCCAATTTATATGTCTCATGGTTCTAACTTTCGCATGCCATATTTTTAATAGCTTGGAAGCAAAAAATGGAAACGAGAGTCATTTGCTTCGATCAGTCACCTGACGAGTCCGATCTGTCGTCACGCTTGTATGTCACACAAAATCCATTTCTCCTGCAGACTCTAGGCATCACCACTAGTGTGAGTATTAAGTGATTTCTGCGGCACGCAAGCATTCGTCCAGTTTAGAACTTGGTCAGCTTTGCTTGAGATCTGCTTGGCACTTGTTTCATTCATCAAATAGAACTTCTAGATTATCCTCATAGTTCCTTTAAGTTTGATCCTCAAATAAGCACACTTCACCACACTAGTAGTTTTGATGGCAGAAATTGAATTACAGGAGAAACAAAAAAAAAACAAAAAAAACTGCCGATTGCTTGCTCATGTTAACAGTGTTGCTCTGTTTGCACATTTGCATTGACGGTGGTGTCTCAGAACACTGATTGTATATGAACACACTTTTTTTTGCACTTTGTTTCGATGTGTTATGTGGACCGGATGTGTTGTCCTAAGATATAATAATCTAGGACATCATTGTTTTGATGCCTCAATCATCAAGACCAATCACTTCAGCTTATTTTGAACACTTGAGCTTTGTAATTGCTGGGGTGTTCAATGTTACTCCTTTGCACTTCCCCTCAACTTTGTTCATATTGTGGTATGATGGTTACTTTATTCGTGAATCCATGTTAAGAGCAAGTAATCCTCACTTTTTGGTCCTGCTTTCCAGGCAGGGTTTTTGATATAATATAAGCTGTACAATCATGTAAGGGCTATGGGAGATGTTTTTACTTGGGCAGGCAAGTTGGAACCAATTGCACTGTCTGTGTATGTCAAGCAATGGAGGGCATCACCCTTGCACAATGCCAGACATGCAGCAAGGTGTGCTCAACATCTAGCTTTATTTTGTTACTCTATATATTCTCAGCTGTAATATATATCAAATTAAAGGGGAGTTCTTATCTCTTTGACATTCTAGATTGGGATTGTTGCATTTTTCTTGCTGGGGAATTAGCATATATGAAAGCTTTCAAGTGTTTCTGAGGCTTATAATTTTGGTAGCACATAAAGGATTCTGATAATGATAAATATTTTTGCAGAAATACAATCAACTTGTGGGTGGCAGTGGCACTTATGATGTGGTAGAATTTTCTTACTTTCATGTCTTGTTTAAGTCCAAATGTCTGGCATATCCATTTTGCTGCCAGAGTAATTTTTCACTTAATTGAACCCTTGTTTCATTTAGTTTTCTTTATTTTCTTTTTTTTTTTGGAAATAACGGTGTATGTGTGGAAGCCTGCTGCCCTGCTGCACTTCGGACAGAGTTTTGCATTCACGGAAAGCAATTTCATATTGCTTTTGGGAATTGTGCACTTACAGTTTCTGACAATCAAAGATTGCTGAATCAAACTGCTTTTTGTTTTGTTCAGGGGTGCAGAGCTGTGGCGTTAGAACAGGGGGAGGGCAAGTTGGGGCGATCACCCTTCCCTTTTTTGACATTTAAGATATTCTACTAAACAATTAAAGGGGAAGGGCAGGGAAATCCTCCTCCCCTCTGGTCGCCCCTCCCTCTCTTCCCTCAAAACTTTGTATGCCCCTGTGCAGAAAGTATTGACTAGCACCTTGGACAGTTGCATGACATTTATTGTTGTCATTTGTTGCTTCAGAAAAACAGTTTGAGGCAGTTGTTTTCTGTAGTAATGTGCTTCTTTGTGACAGTGTACTAATGAAACTGCTTGCATCTTCATTGTGTGTGCAAGAGTTTCTGCAACATCCACTTGTGGTGTTTGACGTTTAAAAATAAGTCAAAAGCTAAAAAAAGTACCAAAAGTTGTCTGGTGCAAAGTGTGTGCCTCAGACTGGTTTGAATTTTTTTTACTCATTTGTCACACATGCAGTTATATCATGTGCTAAATATTATCACTGTTGTGTACTTGGTGGGTGCTGTTACATGACGTTACATCTCTTCAATGTCTCGTGATTATGATGTCGGGCCAGTTACATGCTCAAGCCATAAGGCACTTTATTCATTTTTTAATTAGGGAGAATACTACTTTCAAACATTACATTTTCATTGTTTCTTATTGGACAACCCTGTTGGGCAACAGTCTAAACCATGTAGCCATTTTAAATGTTGAATAAAGTTCTGTGCAAAGTTTACACTTGTTTTTTTTCTTCATTAACTCCCTTAACAGATAGTAACTGGCCAATCTGGTTTGCACAAGTTACATTTTATAAAACTGCTTAGAGGGTGAAACCTGACAGGAAAATGTAGGTTTTGTTGCCTTGGTGCATTTTTAGTCCATATGATGTGATCAGCATGCATTGTGACTGAAAATTTTATTTTACAAAATAGATTTGAAAAATTGGGTTGTGTATGTGGGGAGCTGAGTTTTCTTGAAAGTGTTTATCACTACTTTGTGTGTGTAAAAGGGGAAATGGATGAATTCCATTTTCAGAGTTATTTGCCTTCAAAAATTTAAGGGTGTGCTCAACATTGATAGCATTACACATCAAATTTTCATTTAATAAATGAAACTTCTGTACTTGTTTAACCCTTCTACACTGGCACCTCAATTATAATTTATTTTTGCATAAGAGTCATAATGACTTGAATGTTGCTGAAAGTTAAAATCTTTCACTGAGTTGCACCTTATAGCTTGTCGATATAAAACTAACTCGTGGCAGTCTGCAGAATTATAAAAGAAAACACGATGAAAGGACAGAACAAAGCACACATCCTTGATTAATGGGCAGTCTAATGCACAAAAGATTCAGTGTATAAGTATTTCTGTACGTTAAGGCACTTATTTTTGTTCCTATTGTACATATTCTTGAGAATCTGCTTGTTTCATTGGAGAACTTGCAAAATCTGATGGATTTTGTGCGAGTATTGTACGTTACATGTACAAATTGTTGAACGTGGTGTATGTGTAACAGTACATAACAACGAAGACTAAGAGAAGGAACACAACAGTGGACAGCGCTCGTCCTGTGTTGTGTGTTCCTTTTCTTAGTTTTCGTTACGTGCTGTTTCACCTACACCATGTTCAACTTCCACCAACTAGCCCAGCTCTCTAATTTGTTAAAAATTGTTGTTGTCCCCATTTGTTTGGCTGCAACGGTGTGCTAACATTGTCTTTTTTGTTTTGTTTTATGTATTCTAGGAAGAAACTCCACAAGGGTTTTTTGAGGATCACGGACTCGGTTAGGGCACTACCGTGGCACTCCGGCCGAACGCCGATCGGCCGGGGTTAACGGGAAACTTCTAAAAAAAAACATGGCTCTAATCTGTCCCTCCTAAATTAACCGTTGTGCATTCCACTCCAAGCAGTAGTGTGTTCTCTTTGTGTGTGATTATGCGCTGGTAAAAAAAGGTAGAATGTGCATGTGAACTTGCCAATGCATGTCCTTGGGGCATCGACACTCCTCACTCTTTGTGCTGATGAGCCACCCTTGTCTCTCTTTTGTGGCTGCTAATACATTAAACAACGCTAATTCGGTGCGTGAGAGGTCATGTCGAAGCTCATTGTTCAAGCAGCCTTGTGAAAATAGTTTTTGAAACACGATTTTGGAAGGACACTGTGCAAAGGCAACCTCAAGGAATGTCAACGTATGTGAAGTTACCTGCTGTGTTGCTTGACATACTGTGAAGTTCTTGTCATTGCATCCTTTTTGAGCACCCCCTCAAGTTATGCCAAAGTTCTTAAGCCTTTTGCACTGTTTGTGAAATTTGAGTACCCATTTTTTGACTGAGTTGTACAAGCAAACAGTTTGTAGGGAGCTTAGTCGAAACACAATTTTGAGCGATGTGCACATTATAAATGGGCAGGGGATCGCGTCATTGACATGGCGACAGTTGCCTCACCTGCCCTTTCGAAACATTTCCGTGGCAGTGCTAGCTTCTTGGGAGAAAAATGTGGCTCAGCAATTTTGTGAGGGCTGTGCAGATGCCTGCAGCTAGTGTTGTTTCAGATAAACCCCTAGTATCACAAACAACTCGTTCCAGTTTGAAAGTGGTTTGTCTTTAATGATGATCGTCTAGCAGTTTTTAGGTTGTACATGGTTTTTGCATCAACATTGATTTTTTTTTTTCTGTTAGTGTTGGTGGAAATCAAATGTACAAACTTAATGAAATGATTCGTTGTGGTTTTTTATACATGTCGGAATGTAGGAGAATAGATACACACTGAGCATCTTGCCATTTTTTTGTTAACGCTCATTTTGTTTTGGGCATGCATTAGGTTGTTAAGGTTTCTGTTTTTACGCAGAAAAGAAATGCTTCGTAGGCTTAGAACTTTTACTCTGGTACTTACAGATGCAGTGTGATTTTGTATTTATTGGAATGGGGGTGTTGAATGCACTTCTTAGGCTTTATTTTATGATTGTTAAGCAGAGAGATGATTTCTTTGAGTTTAGTGAATGTGTGAGTTGTTTTCCTTGTGTCGAGTTTAGCTCGCACGAAGTTAAACTATCTATACGGTGGCCAATCTATATTTAAGGACGCGACCCTATACCTAGTGCGTGCGGCGCCCCAGAGTGCACGTCGGTAGGGATGTGTGATATGCCATAAGTTGCAGCTGTATTCCTTATATAAGAAAGAAGCTGAAAATACCGTATGTGTCATTTTAAACAGAGTGTATGGAGGTAATTGTACTGTAATCAGAGTAAAATAAAATAACGTTCCAGTCAATTGGGGTATTCGTGATTTTTTTCCTTTCTTGGGTGTTCTTTGAAGAGACCCATACATGTATCAGCACGTGCGTATGTGCTGTTTTTTTTTTCCCCCTAAGATAAAGGGAACACACTGCTTGGATTGGGAAGTGCAACGCTGGGTGTGCTTGTGGTTCTTTTATTTTATTTTCACGATTTTGCTTTGTGCAAACGATTCGCCTGCGTTTTTACTCTACCATTGCTTTTGTGGGACTTATGCGTTTGACAGTTTTTGCTTTGCAACCCAAATTGCCGTTCGAATTATCGGTGCTGCTACAAGTACGAACAAGCGTTTACAATTATACTAACCGCATTACGTATGTAGCTATGTAGCTTTAAAGAGGCAATTGCACAAATAGCTTCTAAGTCCAACCAGAGCCGTTTTCCAACCAAACTGCAGTTTAAGTGGAGTTAGGGACAAAACTGACGACATAAGAAGGGGTGTAGTGGTCATCTTGGCGATCGCACACGCCCATTTTAGTTTGAGTTTTTTAATGACCGGGCTGCTTTCGATTCTCTTCCTGTTTGTGAAAGTGATGAAGCGATTTACACACTTAGGCTAACTGTATTCGCCACTCCAACCGCGTGCATTTAGTCATTTTTCCTCTGTTTCACATTTCGGCCGCCAGGCCACGGCAGTTTTTGCTTCACTTTTGGATGAGCGGTAGCTCCCAACTTCTCTCCTTTTCGTCTTTTCCGCTAAACGGTGTAGTTTCCTCTGGAGTTGTAAATAGTGCTCAAGACATATTCCGACTTTCGGCATTTTCACAAAGCATAGTAAAAGTTAACAGTTTTCAATTACTAACTTCGGCTTTCTAAAGAAAACAACAAAAAAACATTTATTTGTTTAGTTATTTCTCATTAAATGGGAGGTTTCTATTACGCGACGCTTCCAGTGATGCGATTCGTGCGCCAAAGGGCTTGCCCTGTTACATCCTGCTACATTTCGTCAAACTGTGACTAAGTTTGCACCAACGTTGTGCCAAAACGTAATTTCACTTTACTATCACTAAAAATGTACTAGCTCAGGCCCCGCTGTACGGCCAAGCCGTTTCTGTAAGCGTGTGCAGATTTTCTGAACTTTCGATTATCGCGTGAAATAGCGTACTACTTGATTTGGTATCTGTATCAAACACAGTGCTCGGAAGTCTCGCAATATTTCTCAGGTTCGTGGTCTGCTCTGGCAGGTAAGATAGCTTCAATGGGTGCGCTTTTCGCCGCTCTTTCGTGCACTGCAGTGCGGCAAGAGCGCAAAATAGACATCGCATTTTCCGTATTTTGCTTCGCTGCATCACACCCATTTGCTGAGTAGGCGGAAAGCACTCCTTCAGAGCCGCATGTCGGAAGGCAAAGAAGCCAAATATATGCTGTGGAAGGAATGAGAACGAAGTGTGTGCCTATGCTCCAAACCTACTTTTTGCTGCTCCAAAACAGCTCGGTCCAATCACGTTACTGTGCTTCTAGCGGAACCAACAAAATTACCAATTAATTTAGTCGGATTTGTTGAACGTGGAGGAGACGATGTGGGCCATATAAGCGTCAGAAGTATTAAAGTGTATGTGAATTTAATTTTGATTTACCAACTCAAAACAGGTGAAAAAAAAAAGAAGAGGGGGGGGGGGGTTCTGTAAAAATGAATCTATAAGAGTGGCGCAACAGAGTTCCTGCGTGTACGCTAGAAACCACAAATGAGAAATAAAACAGAACGGAAAGGAACGTAAGAAAAATGAATTAGTGTACAAACTGCAGCATAACCTTAATGATATACAAGATAAGCTTAGTGTGATGATTTGATTCCTCATCTCCCAACGATGAAGGATGTCGCGTGCTCTGTGCGCTGCCATATCTGTTTATCCTCGTGTGTAAAATTGGACCCCAGTTCTATTTCACGGTTGAGAGGGAGAAAGCGGATGGGAGGGGAGTTGTGAACATAAAGCTCCTTGGGTTCAAGTGCCAACGTTCCTGGGATCAGAAGTAAAAGTGAAAAATGAAGTGAGAGCGCTAGAAAAGAAAAAGAAGCCGTTCGATCCGTCCCTCCTTAGGTAAGTACCAAGAAACCTTCGGAAACAATACCAGTTTTCGGTATTTCTCTAAATATTTTCTTGACGCCGTGATAATTGCTTCAGTGACCGTTGCGGAGACCAGACCAGACAACCAAATACGGGGCGCGGGGAGTGTTTTTAGATATTACAGCCGCTTGTTCTATATATCACGTTCACTCGTCAGCTGGGTGTCTTCTTTCTGGCCAAAAATACCGTGAAAGGGAGTTTCCTGCAGTCGCTAGGTACTGCTTATAATTACAGTTGGCACTAAAAGAGATTAACAAGTGATCGACGACCGAAACGGTAAAATCACCCCACAAGGCGCTTCATTGGAAATACACAGAAAGCGAGAGTGGTCGGGCCGTTCCCACCTATATCAGTCTCGCCTGTGCTTAACAAAGCAGG